TCATACATGTGAAATCATTACATATAAGGGGAAAAAAAAATCCAAGACACTAAGAATAGCTGATTAAACTGTAGAGACATCACAAATAAAAATAGCCCAAACCAACTCAAAAATTAAGCGGACCTCGACAACAGAAATCCAACAAAAATTACACCGTGAATAAAAATTGTAAAAAAAAAAATTAACTTTCCTGAATTTGCATCTTCATTAACACCTATTGTGTAACAGCACACCAAATTTCCTTATGAGCTGCAGTATAAGAAACAAATATTAGAAAATGTAAATCCTAGAGAAATGTGTGAGATCTTTTAGGTTAATTTGATGCAATTTCGATCAAAAGAATATGCAAATTACTCCTCACGAATGATGAAACTAAGAGGGCGCAAGAAATTTTGGGCAAAAAAAAAAAGATGTAGAATAACACCTTTAATACACAAGCAAAAAAAGCAAGCAAGCCGTTACAGCAAATGCTTTGCCAAACAAAACCGGACTAATTTGCCAAAAACGACGACAAAAGATGCACCGAAAGCGCTGGCTGAGAACGGCAATCCCAATGGAAGCATCTGTAAACAATGTTGCCCATAGAAATAAAATGAAATTGAGTTCCCTAGCGTATAACACGAACTGAAAATACGATGTGTCAAAATGTGTAAAAACGTCGTCGTTTGCAAATGAAAAAAAACAAACGCGTCGTTTTAAGAGTATCAAATAACCTCTTCAAAGAAAGCTCCACGCGTCAAATTAAGGAAGCATGAATCCAACATTTTTTTAATAGCAATAATACACGGGTCAAGTAAAGGAACAAACTAACTTCTTTTTATTAATAAGAGTATAAGATATATATATAGGGATGCGCTCTGGTGAGAATGGGTCTCAACGAAAGAAATAAGAATACACAATAGCCACGAGATCGATACGATCTAACGGATGCCAACACCCCAACCTCGCATAACTAAAAGGACATGTTTGTAATTACGCCCACCCACGCGTCTGTGTCCCGAAAGAGAAAAATTCCCAAATCTCCAAGCTCGACATTAAAGAACCCAAATCTCAAAGCTCAAGATCCAAATAGCAATTCTCCAAGCTAGAAAGGCACTGGATTTGCAGGCCACGCAATGACATAAAACTACATGAAATCGGGCATGGAGCTCAACATCATTGACAATTCCGTGCATTAAAGACCCACCGCACCTCGAGCTGAACGATTCTGGTGATTTTCTTTTTCTTTATTGCAATTTTTTTTTTCGATTTTCAATCGGGTTTGAACATACAATTGGATTTAATTGTATAGGTTGTTTTTTGTACGATCCTCTTTCAGATTTCCAATTTTGTACACGAGATCGTATTAATGGCAGAACCCGTGGAATTGATCGAGACACAAGATATTAAGAATCTACAATTGTTGTTTGCTTACGATTTACTTAACGAGAAGAATACTTTATTCGTCTTTCTTAGACATATTGTGCATTGACATTGTCCTATATAGCTATATGTCTATATTTACAGAGTTGAACAATTTTACACTCAAATACATAAAGTGCATGTAATATGGAAATAATGTGCATAATAGTGTTCCTAATTGTGCAGTCTGGTGCTCATGTTTTTCTTTTCCTCGTTTTTATATGTAGATTATTGCAGATCAAATGACACCTCGACACAATCAGCTAATCATCACACCTGGTGGCACTAAATATTGGATACCCCAATGCGGGGAAGCAATCAAACCTCACGAAGGACAGCGATTCCAAGGACTTAATGAAGCCATTGTTTTCTACCAAACATATGCTTCTACAGTTGGGTTCGACGTTAGACAGAGCACGTTAGTGAAATCAAGGGATAATAAGTCGATTCTTTGGAAATATTTGGTGTGTTCGAGAGAGGGCTACAAACACCACTCAAACACAGTCCAAACAATACGTCCACGACGACGTAGAGTGTCCAACCGAGTGGGTTGTTATGCATGGATTGTACTGCGATTTGTAGGACACGGAACCTATGTTGTTCGATTTTTTGAAGAGAAGCACAACCATCTGATGACACCTGATAAGTGCAGAGTGCGACTACAAATAAACAGGACAATGACCGCTGCACGTCAAAGCTTTGTCCTCAATTGTATAAAAGCCAACATAGGCCCTATAAAGTCGTACAAGCTGTATAAAGAAATGGTTGGAGGGTATTCGAGTGTTGGAGCTACCAGTGTGGAATTCAGAAACTTCAAGCGAGATCTCATGGGATACATTCTAGGTGCTGATGCTCAACTGGTGATAGAAAAATTTTACAAACATCAAGAGAATAGTTCTGCATTTTATTTCCACTACGAGCTTGACGACAGCGACTGCCTACACAGGCTTTTTTGGGCTGATCCGATATCAAGGAGGAACTATGGATCTTTCGGGGATGTTGTATCATTTGATGCGACCTATCGCACAAACAGGTACATTAAGGTCACACATCAATTACATGACTATTTTGATATTGCACAACAGTGTGATTTACTAAGCATAATATATTATATATGATTGCACATTATTTACTCAGTATGTGTTTCTGCCTTGTATTGTTATCACTTGTAGGTACAATATGGTGTTTGCGCTTTTTACCTGCATAGACAACCACAAAAAATGTGTAACATTCGCAGCCGCTTTGATTTCGAAGGAAGACGTTGATTCTTACGTATGGGTGTTCGAAAATTTCAAAAAAGCAATGGTCCAGGAGCCCAAATATATAGTCACGGATCAAGATCCTTCGATTGGAATTGCGTTCTACAAGGTATTCACTACTACCAAGCACCGCTTTTGCATGTGGCACATCATGACTAAATTGTGTGATAAAGTCGGGCATGCTTTAAACAGTGATACCAATTTCAAACAGAGTCTTAACGAAATTGTTTGGAGTCGAAGTATTGAACCTGCCGAATTTGAAACTAAGTGGGCTGCAATCATGCATGAATATAATTTAGACACCCATAATTGGTTTGTTGATTTGTTTGCCAAGAGAGAAAACTGGATACCGGCATATTTTAGAGATGTTGGGATGAGTGGACTGATGAGGACTACATCTCGGTCGGAAAGTGAGAACAACTGATCTAGCAATTTTACCAATACTCAGTCAAGTTTAGTTGAGTTTCTCTTACACTATGATAGTGCAATGGATGCATAAAGAAACACATCGATGAAGCTACAAACTGACAGTGAAACACACGCAGCTGCACTAAAAACACCACTGCCAATTGAAAAATATGCTTTGTCTGTGTACACCACAACAATATTCTTATCGTGTGCAAAATGAGATATGTGACGCATGTTTCAAATGTCGATTAATGCGAAATTCTGAAAGTGAAGGTGAACTGACATTTGTGATAAATGATGTTTATGGGAGATCATTTACAGTAACATACAATGCTGGTCTGAAATCATGTCAATGCTCCTGCAAACACTTTGAAATGTATGGATGGTTGTGTCGACATGTTTTTGTCGTCTTGAAGGACCTGAACATAGAGGTTATACCGCCTACACACGTCATGTCTAGGTGGACAAAACTTGCCGTTAGCAATCCTATGTTTTGTGTTCTTGGCAGCATTTCAGAACAATGCGCACATATAGACGATAAGAAATTCATGATGAATAAGCTATGGTCCGACATACATGTTTGCATGGGATTGGTAGAGGTGCGAATGGACCGAACTGTCGAGTTTTCCAAACTCGTCGGGGACCACAAGCGCAAGCTCTTAATCGAGCAGGAGGGTGGGCCGGACAAGACAAACAAGGAACAAAGTTTTGAGTCGTTTGTTGGTATGTCTGCCCCGCAAGAAATACACATACAGCCTCCGGCACAATCGAAAAACAAAGGAAGCGGGAAGCGATTGAAGAGTAACAAAGAGAAATCGATTGAAAAGTCACAGAGTAAAAGACGTCTATGCAAGACGTGTGGTGAGAGAACAGGTCACAATACATGAACCTGTCCCAAAAAACAGTGACATGGCAAATATCGTCCACACCGTATGAAGGTACATACAATCCAATCAGAATTTACATTTATATGTTTTTTCTTGTGTTTGCACTCAGGATTTGTGTGTTCATATATATATATATATATATATATATATATATATATATATATATATTCTAACAATTACTATGTCCAGTGTAGGTAGTTCTTAAATGCAACAGGCTTTTAATTTTTGCTTCAGTCAGATATATTAGAATACTCCTATGTATTGCATGCATGACTTGGATGTATTATTTACGAATGAACATAATGCCTACTGATACTGTAAAATAATCACGTACGTGTACATGTACTAATTACGACACGTTTACACGTACAGACACCAATTGACACCAACATGTTGGGACGATCTCTGATGCGCGTGAAGATATTAGTTGATTTCGATTACAAGACATTATGTAGTTGAATTACTTTATTGGCCGTTACCAAACATTACAACGTTTTTTATATCTATATTGGGGTTAAATTGGGTCATGATTAATCCAAGTTTGGAATTATTGAATGTTAGGTGCACGATATACAATGAAGGGAGTATTTACTATCCCAATGTTACGACTATAGAAACATAATCTAAAAGGCAAAATAAAAAACCTAACCAAATGAAAGATAATCGAATGGTAGACAGTGATATACAATCACAATTGCATGCACAATAGTACATTCAAGGTGAACATTACAAGTTAAACACATGCACTATACACTTTTATTGAGCATGACATACATAAGTGTATATATAATTTTTGCATACCATGTACTCAATATATATACTATGTATTGATAGTTAAATAAATAAATTAGTAAACTAGAAAAATAATAAAAAAAACATATATATATTTATGTTTGACATCACATGTATATGATCAAATGGTCAATGCACAACAATATACATTATGTTGCACATTAGTTGTAACGAATTGCACATCATGTATACCGTCATTGTGAACAGGTGAGAAATATAATCTCGCCAAAAAAAAAAAAATTCTTGGTGACTACATAACCGATGGGCATATAACTACAACTCTGAAAATCTAAATAAACAAATAATGAACAACAATAGAAAAAATATATATATATATATATACATATAAATATACAATAAAGCACAGAACTACAGACTAAATTGCACAATAGATATGTAGCATCTGCACATTATATATCGACAAATACTAGGATCTGACAATATCATGCAATATTTTACATAAACGCCCGAATAACCAAAAGATTAGTCGTACTACATAATGACATCAAAATACGCAAAACATTCATAAAGTCCATGTGCAAAACATCATCGACCATAACGATATAATCCGGTTCATCAAACTACGCAAAACATCAACAAAGTCTACGATATACTAACAGTCGCACGAATGTCTAATCATTCTACAAGACGCCACAAAATAGTCACACAGGAAATCCTAACATTAGTTTGTGTTACGTTGCTGTTTCTTTGCAACGTACAATGGGTGGAATCTTTTTGACACATTTAGATTGTCATCCTTCAACTTGTTGTCTGGGGCACACGCTATAACATAGCTATACCGCTTCCTGATCAGTTTGATCTGACCCTTGTCACTCTTCTTCAGATGCGGTGTCCATGTTTTTGAAATGCCACCCTTGAACGTTTTCATGTGTCGCATGGTTATCACCCCGACATCTGCATCTTCAACGCCTTCAGTCCAAGCCGTGGCAAAAACTTCGGGAACAACAATTGCAATCAATTTAGACTTCTTCGACAAGTGCCTCTCGCTTAAAAACTTCGAGAACGAGCTTTGCTACAATACTTGTGATAGTGGTTACCACAAAAAAACTAAACAGACAATATTAATTACATCAAACGTAATTATTTTTAGAATATTACCAACAACTCGGCACGTGACATAACCGGTTTTGAAATAGCACCCTCTTTGCGATTTCTAGCACTATTTACCAGCTTCTGGGAATCTGGAACCGCACATATCAAGCCCGAAAACGTCCTAGAATGTACTGGAAATAAAAACTACAATAACAAAAAAAGGAAAAAATCAACACATATGCATATAACGCAATGGTCCAACAAACAACAATAGTCCAACAAACAATTTTGCCAATTAAACAAATAGCCAGGTGAATACAATGATTAATGCATACAAAATCTATATGTACCGATAATTACACACTTACCACATAAATCTGCTTCAACTTATAAATGGATATTCGTGTGATTTCTGCGTCGAGTGAATCAGCAAACCTTTTGTAATTTATCTCTTTCTTCCGTCTCCCCTCAAAGAACAACTGTGATTCACAACAGCGGTTAAAATATAATATACATAACGTTACAATCTCGCAACATGAACATGTTTACATAGTATCATACCTCACTGCATGGTGACGTGGAAGCATAAAAGCATGTTACTGCACTGCGGCTTCTAAGGTTCTCATTGTAATTTAGTATAAATGACCACAAGTCTAGCAACTCCTTCTTAACCGGTGTGTTTGGCGTCAGGCATGTCACAACAGACTTTTGCACGGTGTATTCAGGAGATTCAGAAGATTGGAATATAATCACGCCCCTGTACATTTCATGTAAACATGCATCAATCTGAATTAAATCACTCAAATACACATACATAACCAAAAACATACACATATGAGTGAATGGTATGTTAATGCATGAATTATAGATATAAAAATATTCATACTCATCTGATGCATCATTCTTCATTATCCAGTTAGCGACCATCCTCTCATTCCCGTCAAGCTTCTTGGTCACGTCAATCTCTCTCTCTTTATAAGGCGATTTATTTGCACTGCCGAGCTTGATACGCCTCTTTGGTCTTGGAGACACATGCGCTTCATCATCCTGAGCCAACTCATCATCAACATCTAAACAAAACAGACATAAGCATAAGTAAGAGCACAAGATGCATATTTAATTCATTAAACGTGCGTGGAAATTACAGGTATACCTGCTGCCGTTACACAATACTTATTCTGTAGTCCAACTCCTTCAACAATCACCGGTTCGGCAGAAACACCAGCACCGTCTTCATAAACAATAATGTTAACATGTTAATATATGAAACATGCATCACAA